GGGTTTAGGGCTTAGGGTTTAAGGGCGTGGGATTTAGGGTTTAGGGCTTGGGGCTAAGGGTTTAGGATTTTAGGGTTTAGGGCTTAGGGTTTAGGGTTTTAGGGCTTAGGGCTAAGGGTTTAGGGTTTAGGGTGTAAGGTTTAAGTTTAGGCCGTAGGGTTTAGGGTTTAGGGCGTAGGGTCTGAGTCTGTGCCAGCCTAGGTTTCAGGCTTTTAGGACTAGGGCCTAGAGCTTATATGCTCAGGTAGATGAGGGCTTGTCTTCAGGGCTTGGGCTTAGGGCCTTGTTGTCGTTTGGTTTTGGGTTCAGTGTCTCTAGGCTGTAGTGCCCAGAATAGTATAGGTAATTATCAAGGCCCCTAAACCCTAAACCCTAAACCCTCAACCCTAAACCCTAAACCCTAAACCCTTAATTATCCAGGCCCCTACGTTAGCTATGTTGGCCAAGCGCACCGACACTCAGGGCCGCCAACCAAAATTGGGAGTTTCCGAAAATTAGGGGTACCTTATTTTGGGGTCCTTATATTTTTGGGGTTTAGGGTTTAGGGTTTAGGGGTTTAGGGTTTAGGGTTTAATTCCGAAAATAAGGGGTACCTTATTTTGGGGTCCTTATAATAAAGATCCTATTATTTGGGGTACTATATTAGGGTCCCCTATTTTCGGAAACCGCCATGTGTCAAGAAAGCTTTCAAGCCCTTGCAACACCCTATGAAGTCCTTCACCATCCCTAAACCCTACACCCTACATCCCTAATCCCTAAACCCTAAACCCTAAAGGGACCATGAGAAGAACCCCCAGGATCCTGGACCTTAATGCCAAAGAAGCCCAAACCCTAGATCGTAAAGCATGGGTCGTGACATTCCATGAAAGGTTATATGCTGTTTCTTTGACATGCCCTCGGTGCTGTTGTATTTGCTATATCTCTTGAGGCCCATCTACTACACCCTCTGAAAACCCGCTGTGAAGCTTATAGCACCCCCCACCAAAAGGCATAACACCGATTACAAAACCGCTAAGCCCCGCAGAACCACCATCTGCAGCCGTACTCCGAAGACCCTTAGCCGACGAATGCTCCTAAACCCTAAACCCTAAACCCTAAAACAAAAACCCCTAAAACCCCTAAACCCTAAACCCCTAAACTCCCTAAACTCCCTAAACTCCTAGACCTCTAAACCCTAAACTCCTGAACCTCTAAACCCTAAACCCCTAAAACCCTCAACCCCTAAACCCCTAAACTCCTAAACTCCTAAACCCCTAAACCCCTCAACCCTAAACCCTAAACCCTAAACCCCTAAACCTCTAAACTCCTAAACCTCTAAACCCCTAAACTCCTAAACCTCTAAACCCTAAACCCTAAACCCTTAAACCCCTAAACCCTAAACCCTAAACCCTAAACCCCTAAACTCCTAAACTCCTAAACCTCCAAACCCTAAACCCGAATCGAGGAGACCAAGCGCCCACGCTTGGCACACGACAGGAGCAGTGGAAGTGTTGGGATGGAGGTGCCTTGGGTGTTTAGGGTTTAGGGTTTAGGGTTTAGGGTTCAGGGTTCAGGGTTGGGGGTTTAGGGTTTAGGGTTTACTAGCACCGGCGTTTACGGCTTATCATGCATGGAGGTTCATGGGTAGTTATAAGTAGGGTTCTAAGTCCCCTAATATGGGCTATAGGTACAGTTGGTCTACTTATAACCCCACTTATAACGACCCATGAACCTCCAAGTGTTCGGAATCCCTCCGAGCAGCGGCGCCTTTCGAGGTGCTTGGCCGGGTGGGCTTAGTGGGTCGGAGAGGTCGGGGGCTTACGGTTCACGGTCTATAGGGCCTGGGGCTAGGGTTTTGGATTCAGTTTTTGTTGGGGTTTAGGGCTTAGGGTTTGTACCCCCTGCAACCCTTCTGTCCCTAAGCCCTAAACCCCTAAACCCTAAACCCCAAACCCTAAACTCCTAAACCCTAATCCCCTGAACCCTAAACCCTAAACCCCTGAACTCCTAAACCTCTAAGCCTAAGCCGTAGAATGTCTGCCTGCTTCGCAGGTCATCAGTGCCATCACGTGCCTCGGTTGTACTTCATGGGTTTGTCACCCTCCCGAGGACGCCTAGGTTCCTTTCAGGGCTCCTTTAGGGTTTAGGGTCTAGGGATCTATCGGGTTCTGCATGTTTCGGTGTTTTTCTGGGATTAGGGCTAATTTGGGTTTAGGGTTTAGGGCACAGTGTTAGCCCGTGTGCCTAGGACACGTAGCGTCGAGCAGGTAACCTTCAAGATTTTTCGTGTCGTGGGTTCCAAACAAGTAGTAGCAATAGTCTTTAAGGCCCTTTATTCAGAATACAGAAAATGATATTAAGATTATGCGACAGTATAGCTTAGAACCCAAATAGACATTAAGGCCCCTGTATTCGTAGAATCCCGATATCTTCTATACAGTTGATTCCACTAGGTCATTAGGGAACTGGACAGGTCTCGGGTGAGTTTAGGGCTTGGGGTTAGGGCTTGGGGTCCAGGGTGTAGTCTTAGGGTACAGTTTAGGATTTAGAGTCCAGGGATTAGGGCTTACGCTTGGTGGTTGAGGGTTGCGGCATCGGGTTTGCGGTTAGGGTGCGGTTCCGGGCCTATTGAGGATGTAGTGTTTGCCCCACCCTAAACCCTAAACCCTAAAATGAGCGGACGGAAAAGGGCCCTTAGAGATAAAAAACAAAAACACCTAAACCCCAAACCCTAAACCCTAAACCCCCGAGGGTTTAGGGTTTAGGGTTTTGGAAGGGT